CAGCCTACAGGACAGGGTCAAAGGCCCTCAATTCAATTGATCCTGCAATGTACTGCAGCACGGGGCCTGTCGCCCAGTGGAAATGCCCGAAAGGTCAGAGGCGTGGATGTCGCCCTGGTGGGTTCTGCTCCACGCTCCTGGTGGGTATGGTGGGGGTTACTTCAGGAAACGGCGAAAGCGGCACGGCAGACGGCAGAGCCACCGTTCATTCCAGCGTGTTGAATGTCTCCGGCTCCGGGGCCCGACTGATGAGGTGTTGTTCCTTGGCTGGAAGGTGGAGGTCTCGATGAAGTCGAAGTGTAGGGCTACGGTGAGGAGGAGACAGGCAAGCTTGGAGAGCCAGTAAACAAAGCGTTGGCAAAGGGTTACCAAATCGTGAAGGCATCGAATCCATAGTGCCGACGACGTGTCCAACGAGTGACCACCGCTTTACACGAAAAGATTGACAATGTGCCAATGGCGGCAACAGAAGACAGTGACAAAACACGCAGACACGCACCGTATTTGTCGCCTGCGCCTCGGCCTGTGCTGGGGCTCGCTATTCAACAGCCCCCCCGGATAGCATCGTCATCCCGCAAAATCCCGCACATCCAACTTGGCGTGCCCTGTCTTTTGCTGGCACTAGGCCAAGGAGAATTCCGTCTTTGCCGTTGTCGCACTGTGGACACCTCATTTTGCCAGGCTTCGCTCGCCAGCGGCTGCCCGAGTGGTTGGGGGTGCCTTTTCCTGGCTCCTCCTGTGCATGCTGTGGCCAGTGCCGCTGCCATTGAGAGAGCAGGCTGTACTGGTTGGTGAATTGAATGGTCCGCCCCCACGGGTTGAGACATTTTCTGACATTCAATCTCGAGGTGCGCAGGCAGGACAGGTGTCACGCTTGTGTCCCCATGCCCGCGTCTTGCCGTGGTAAGCGCAGCACAATGGCAGCACTCGGCCCCTCTTCGCAAAGCTTGGGCGGCAGCAGAACACAGAAGTCGGGACGAAGGTTGATCGTCATCTCGTCGATTCGAGCTTGGTGTGTATGTGCCATTCGTCTCTTGACTCGATCTGCAGTTCTCTTCGGGCAGCGTCCCTCGGCCACCGCACGAGGATTTGTCGGCACGCTAGACCGAACAGTCAACGTAGCGCCACGAAAACCCAAATCATCATGACGACAACTCTTGGGTCATCTCCTTCTGGTCAGGCCCTGGGGAGACGGCACACCTGCTGCCCAGCGTGAGGGATTCCGTCTTCGGTGGGGTGGCTCAGCGGTGATCGCAGCCCTGCGCCCTGCTGACTGACGCTGTCCACCGAGTCGAGGTGAAACTGGAAGGCAGCAAGGCAGGATTTCAGGAATGACTCGGCCAAGCCCTGGGTTGAGGCCAGCTGCGCCAAAGGAGCACCGTAGGGAGAGGGACCCAGGGTGGCATCAAATGCGCGGGTGTGGACGCTTGCCAAGCCCCGGACTCGATCTCAGGGCTTGAAATGCCCCTGTCGCTCTCGGGTGGGTGACCCTGGCCCTGGCCCCTCAAGGGGCCTTCGCAGGTCAAAGGAGGGATGACACGGTCAAGGGCTTGGGGGTCGTCACCGTTGAGGGACGATGTGGTGGGTAAACTGGATGGGTAGCATCTTGAATTCGATGTTCGCCTCTGTTCGCCTGTGGACAATCAACTGTCAGCCATGTGTCACAGAGGTCAGTGATCCGGTGGTCTGGCCGGTCGACCGGCTAGGATCGCTCCAACAATCTCGTCAGATTTGCAACAAATATTGTCAAATTTGCAACAGAATTTGTCCAAAGGTGGAGGCCCTGGCTGCAGAAAGGGACCGCCTCGGTGTGGGCATCGGCCTTTGAGGGTCGGTTTTTCGAGTGGTTTTTTTTTTCCCCTTCCTTGGTTCCGCTGGCGTCTAGCTTTTGGACTTGGGGGGATCCGAGTCCCATCTCATTCCAATTGTCATGTCTGGCCGCGAATCGTGGCAACCAGTGAGAAATCTTGCAGTGGAGGCTGCCTAGGCCAGCCCTTGACGCTCCGTAAGAACACACCGACAGAGTGGACAAAACGGACACCTGACAACGGAAAACAGGCACGACGCTAAGGGGCCCTAAACAGTGTCGACGTACCGATACGTACCCAAGTAGCGAGGTACTCAAGTACCGCGTCATGTAACTCCCAGCCCTTCCCCCCCGCCATCCTGTACCTGCCGCATGGAAGCCGCAACCTCGATTGCATTCGCCCCAGTGCTGAGTGAGGTACTGCGCCTTGGCTCTTGGGGGTGGGGCCTTCTCCATCCGTCGCCTGCAGCGTTTACTGTTACCATTTTGTTGCTCCTGCTGCTCCTGCCCGATTGCCTTTTCCGCCCACTGTCATCCACTGCCCGCACGCGCTTTCTCCCAGTGGCCGTCAGCCCCAGCCCGGGTCCGAATATATCGCAAGGCCCCTCGCCCTCCAACCCACCCCGTCTTCCCACACCCGCATCCTCTTCCTTCTGAGACTTATTTTGTTCACCTCGACATTCCAGGTCTCAACATCCTCCTGTGCAGATCACATCACATCGCCCCCTGCGCCTCGACCCTGACAACGTCCCGGCACCATCATTACCGCGTCTGTGACGGGCCAAGTCGGCGTCTGCACCCTTGCTTGTCTTGCCTCGCACCTACCAACGCATACATCGATCCTCGCCAAGGATCTTTACTTGGAGGGACCCTGAACACCAGCTTCAGTCTTATTGAGCGAACTGGCTCACTGCCCCCTTTCAACCCTTTGAATCCTCTCCAACCAAGGCACACCACCCGAACAAGACTTCTGTTCTCGACAGTCGACATGTTTGTCTCCCTCAAATAGCACTACTGTCCCTAGGGACACGACCAATTCTTGCGCTGCAGCCTTTCCAAGCCGCGGATCGCCAGAAGCCTACCACCGCAACAATCTACCTGATTATCGCCTGCAACCATCACCCGTTCCGCTCTACAACGCGCAACTTGCACAAATAACGCCCTGTCCAGACATATTCCCATCTTCCAGCACCTGTCTCACCCCGACTACGTCTACATCTCGAGTGCCTCACCAAGTTCCAGCACTCACCCCGACCTTCCAGAAACGTGCCCTTTCCCGGGTCGACTTCAGATCCCCCCACAATGACGCACAACACGACACACGCCAGTGCGGGCATCTGCCGTCTTGTCTTGGGCGGCGCAAACCTCCAATATGCCCTCCATCGCCGACGAGGACATAGGCGACGTCGATGAACCCCCCGATTCGCGTCTGCCCTACTCGCCCATGAAGAGCACCTTCACTCGCAACCCG